GGCTGAGGTGAGAGGCTTGCGGAAGCCTGGGGGGTTCTCAGGAGGCTCAGGTGAGAGGCTTGCAGAAGCCTGGGGGGCTGAGGCTGCAGGGAGCTATGATTGTACCTCTGTACTCCAGCCTAGGTGTCAGTGAGATTCTGTCTCAAAGTAAAGCAAACCCAAAACAACATAAAGTACCATTCTAGGAATATCGAGGCAACATTGTTTGATAGATTGACAAGAGTCTTTGGAATCTATTAGAACCTAGATCAAAATCTAGACTTGTTGCTCAGGTCCATGGCAAATAAAGTGACATAGTAGTTAGAATTGTGGACTTTTGAGTCAGACTGCTCACATGTTAATCTTAGCTTCACCATTAACTGTGCGGTGCTGGGCAGATTATAACTCTTTTGTCTTTATTTCCTCTTTTTTTTTTTTTTTTGAGACTAAGTCTCACTCTGTCGCCCAAGCTGGAGTGCAGTGGCGCAATCTTGGCTCACTGCAACCTCCGCCTCCTGGGTTCAAGTGATTCTCCTGCCTCGCCTCCCGAGTAGCTGGGATTACAGTCATGCACCACCACATCCAGCTAATTTTTATATTTTTAGTAGAGATTGGGTTTTGCCATGTAGGCCAGGCTGGTCTCAAACTCCCGACCTCAGGTGATCCGCTTGCCTCGGCCTCCCATGTTTCTTCACTTGTAAGATGAGAAGGTAGCACTACCACCCACCTCAGGGTTGTGGTAAGAATGAGATGAGAAAATGCATGAAAAGCATTAAAAAACATAGCTGTCAGTCAATTATTAGGGAATATTAACTTTTTTGAGCCTTGCCCTTTTCATCCATAAAAATGAGGATAACAGTATTTAGTTCATAATATAAATAAAGGTTGATGGAAAAATTAAATGAAATGGCATGCAAATTTGCCTAGCATTGTTTGGGGCACAGAAGATATGTTTCTTTTATTTTTTTAGTTTTCAGTTAGCTGTAGTCCTCTGGAAAAAAATAAGAACACTGGAATTTGCAAAACACATCGACCCACCAAAATCTGATTTCTGTCCTTAGCACTGGTGATCTTACACTGCGATTTAAATAAAATGAAATCCACATTATCAAACCCAATGAACACTTCTTTAAACGTCATCCTGTGTTCAACACCGTGGCCGTTGTCATACCTTGACTTGTATTACATTATTTTCTGGTGTTACAGAGACATTGTCCTACCTCTGTGACCATCCTCAGTTTCTTTCCGGGGAATTCCTTCCTCTTGGCATTTTTTTAAATGGAATTCTGCCGTGTGCCCTTCTGTTGTCCTGCTCTGTGTGCTTTCCTGAAGCAGTCTCACCCACTTGGCTTGCACCCTCTCTCACCCATTGACGATCCCTGCCTCAGGCACCTGCTGAACTCTAGGTCCAGAGGACCACCTGTCTCCTGCACATTGCTGCCTGGCTGTCTGTCTTTCAAGGCTGAGCACAGTATGACCAAAATTAAACTTGTTTTCTCTCATGAGATTGCCCTTTTTCTTGATGTTCTTTACACTTATTTGTGGCATTGACCTACTGTCTCCCAAGTCAGAAAGTTGGGAATCATGCCAACGTGTTTTACAGAAAAGAAACTCAATGCAAGTTTCCCAGGCTGCTGACCGAAATAGCTACCAGATTAGTGGTACTGCTATTCAGTGGGTCAGATACTTGTGTCCTAATAGCAAACGGGTTCTTTTTTGGGCCTTGTTACTAATATTAAGCTGTCATCTAGAGTAATCACGTATTACATGACAGTTTCACCATCTGTGCCTCAAAGAGAAACGTAAGTCAAGTCA